TTAACCCTTTCGAGCCGACTGTCACATATATGTGACAGCAAGAAACGCGCTCACTTCCCGGCCGACACACCCGCGTGTCAGAGAGTTTTCTCGTTCACCCCCGACCGTCACTTATTTGTGCCAGCGTTTCGGAACGTTTTAAAAAATGAAATTTCTTCCAAAAGATGGCATTGTATGTCCATATGGTTTCAGATACATGTAGATTTGACCTTCTACTCAAGATGAAAGTACATTCACGTGGTTTTTAGGGGAAGGAGTGGAGGGGGGGGAATGTTTTATGAGGGCTCTTTAAATTAGCACGTGATATTTATTCACAGTAAGTAAGGGAGTTTTTTTTTTTCTCTCGCTACTTTCGATTTTCGGATTAGTTTTTAGTGGATAATTAGATCTTGTAGGCTTGAATTTTTTTTTCTTTTTACCGTTAGAATGTCGAAGCGTCGAAAAATTTTGACTGAGCTGGAGATAGAGGAAATTATGCAAAATATTTCAGACATTGATTCTGAAACAGATTCGGATAGTAGTGATAGTGACACTATAATGAAAATAAAATATGTAAAATATACATTTAAACAAGAAATAACTTAAGTAAATAAAGTATCCATAGAAATATATATAAAGCATATGTCACTTAAATACTCTACAGAACAATATTAAACAACGCGCTGATATTTCGGTAATTTCATGGAATTAGGCTTAACATCGAAAAACCCTCCGGCCCTGGGGAGACACACGCTATAGAGACTGCCGGCCTTAGCGGTAAGCGCGCTTTCGCGCTTTGCGTCGCGAAAGGGTTTTAAAGAAATTTCTATTCATATTGGAGTACACAAGAAGAGCTTTTCTCTCTTCCAACGGACTCTTTCCTTTGACTGGTGAGTGAAATTAAAGCATTCAGAAATACCTACTTTTATAAATGTAGAATCAACTTTAAATCAGTTTTCTTACCACTTCCGATGTATAAAGTTTGGAGGTAATAAAATTAGAATTCACCTGAAAAGATATTTCTCTTTCAAAGTACAGGGTATGGACAAATCAATAGAAGCACTTCAAAGCTAACTCATTTAATTTTATAACTTCAGCAGAAGTGTTGAAATCAGGCGATTTCTCATTTTTAATGAAGGTAAGACGGACCGACAATAAATTATAAACGAAAATAATTTTTTTGAATACCACAGCCGAAAAAAGAAATAATAAATTTGTAACGGTTACTTGGGTTGTTAATTGAACAAAATTTCGCAAGCCTATGTTAAATATTTAAGGCTTGGATAATTTTGTCAAAGAACTAATTTTTTGTCTTTAGTTTTTCTTGCTATAACTTAAAAAATACTCCATAAAATCAAACAATATTTATAGAGCAGTTAAAAATTAATTACAAAAATTATTCTTTGAAATTTTGTTTTTATGAAAACTAATATATATGCACTTTGTTTTTTTCCTTCTTTTAAATAGCTTCTTGTCTTCTCTTTCCAATGCATAATAACATATTATGTTAACAATAAATGTGCAAATGAATTTTTTTTACCAGATCTTTAATCCACACTTATTTTTCAAGTTGCCTTAAGCATATATTTTTATGTTAATGATGTAATTATTTCTTGGTATTATGTGTATGTCTCTCAAAATATTATAGTACTTAATAAATAAAATTTATATGTCTTGATAATCTTTCTATTTAATTGAACTTGGTGCTACAGAGTCCCAAATTTTCTTTAGACAGATTTCATGGTTTTGTTTATATGTCTGTTGGAAAAACTTTTTTGGAAAGGATTAGAATACTTTTTTTTCAAGAGATAATATTTTAGTTCAAAGCTGCTATTTCTTTCTAATATTATTATTTTTTTTTTTTGAAAAGCGATGGGATTAAAAAAAACTTAAGATTAGAAATTGGAGTGAGTTGGCAGCCAAGGCCTGCAAGGGGCTATTGCTCTGACAAAGAAGTGATTAAAAATTGAAGTAAAAACAGTGTTGTGTAGAGAGAATTATTACAGTCCTTCTGCTTAATGAAAATATTAGTGTATCAAATGTTGTTATTCATAATAATTGCTGTTTATTATTTTTAATTATCAGATTAATCAAGCGAATTGAGTGCTGTCGTTCAATTTTACCCTATACTAGTGTTTTTTAAGGTCCAGTGCCCCTACCGGTACACAATTGCCCAGGATACCATACACTTAGGTTTTTTTAAGGTTAAGAGCCTGCTCGGTATACACTACTCTGTTTTTTTTTTTTTTTTTT